TATATATATAAATTAATAAGTACAGCAGGTCAGAATAAGTATGTTGTTTCATTTTTACATAAATTTATCGTGTTACGCTGAATGATGATGGGACATTATTTCACCCATATTTAAAAAAAAAAAAATCACAAATGTTATTTGAAAAAATTTGACACTTTACTTACATTTAATATGCTTTCTATGCATATACAATTAATTTTGTTAATTTAATTTGATGCAGACCCAAAATGGGATGTCTCTTCTTTGTCTCATGTACAGTATGTAAATATTGCTGTTTATTACAGAGTTTTGATATATTAAATATTAAATATCACTCGTGTTCATTTAGGAAAAAAAAAAAAAAAAAATGCATGAGAATCATGTCACGCTTATTTCCAACTAGATTCGTCAGTGTATTTTATGTCTTCTAAATTTTTTGAATCTGCTTGAATTCTCTGAAGTTCTTCGTAAACAAATCGTTGTAGATTTCATTACCATGTCATTACAGTGTCAACATGTTCGTTTAACTGTCAGCCAGCTGCCAGTGACAGATTTCCTCCCACATGCCTACAACTCTTTGATATTTCTCATTTGCATATCACTAAAAAGGAATGAGTCATTAAAAACAGTCATGAAAAACCAATGAAAACATAATGAACCGTTAATAAACTGCCACATTTATGATTTATGTGCCAATTTACCTTAATTCTCCATCAACAGATTGTGATTTGATCTTCCAATGAGGATAAGCTCAGAGATCATTCAAGACTTAAGTGATGCCTTTCGTTTTTTTTGGCAGCTCAAAACACACATCCTTGCTGAAAACTTTTCTAGAAACTTTGGTACGTGATGTCACAGGGTAATAAGTGGTACATGACACCATCCTTCAGACTTTTTTCTGCACTCTAGTCAAAGTTATAATACTTCACAAATCAAAAGCCACCCAAATTGTTATCATGAGAAAATGAAGGTGACGATTTTGTATATTCGTTCCGTGCGATTTGTACGGAAATTTAAAATTTTTAGAAAATTGCACAAGCATGAAAGTCCCCCTCCAAACCTAACTGTCAGTTAGTATGATCTAATTTGTACTTTCGTAAAATGTGTTTACACCAAATCATACGAAAACAAAGAATGATATTGTACAAATTAATTTAAATAAGCCACCAATTCACCAAAACTTACAATAGTTACGAATAGTTACGAATTGCCAATAGAGTGTGTTGAGCCACTTGACAATCATTCCGAGAAAATGCATCGCACTTTCGCAAATCACAAATGTGATTTTTAGGCTCATTAGTCTTGCTCTAAACTGTTAATCAGTGCATGTTACTCTAAAGAAGAAAAAGTCTGGCTTTTTAATATCTAATCACAATGAAATGTGCTCCACCTTTAAATTGGTGTGCAACAATCACCATACACTCTTAAAAATAAAGGTTTCAAACGGGGTTTTTCACAAGATCCACCATTGTTGGTTCCCCAATGAACAGTTCTTAAAAGAACCCCTTTTTTTCTTAGTGTGAAGAACACTGATGAACCTTTTTCCATGAATGGAATTGAAAGGTTTCATGGGTGTTAAAGGAGACATATTATGCCCCTTTTTACAATATGTAATATAAGTCTCTGGTGTCCCCAGAATGTGTCTGTGAAGTTTCAGCTCAAAATACTCCACAGATCATTTATTATATAATTTTGAAAATGCCTATTTTGAGTGGAAGCAGAAACACGCGGTTTTTCGGGCCAGGCTATTTAAATGCAAATGAGCTGCTGCTCCCCGCCCCCTTTTCCAGAATAGAGCTGCACCATTACAGCTGGTATCTGTTAAAAAAAATTCTGATTATCATGTTTATCGCGCTGAAATCATGCGTTTTAAAACATATGAGTTTAAACTTCTGATATAAGAAGTTTTCTGAGAGCACACATCTGAAGCATACGCACAGAAAGCGGCTGTCACAGCATGTGAGTACTAAACTAAGTTCTCATTCACACACAAGTTTACGTTAAAAACACACATGAGTTACAAAAAAAACAGTTGGTTATGTCTGTGAAGGTAAACAGCTGGGAAATAAATCGCGTTTAAGGGGCGGTAATATTATAATGAGATCCATTTGCCACGTCACCAAGGGAGCGAAATCAGACGCGCTCTTTTTCTCAGACGCTTGCAGAAAAAGGCTTACCAAAACAAAGTTACTGGGTTAATCTTTTTCACGTTTCCTTGGTTGGTAGATGCACCGGGGACCTGATTATAGCACTTAAAACCTGGAAAAGTCAGATTTTCATGATATGTCACCTTTAAAGATTCTTCATGGAACCACTGATGCCAATAAAGAATCTCTGTTTTTAAGAGTGTATAGTAACTTTTGCAATCCAATCAAATCCCGATGGATAAAACCAAATTTTGTGCTGAAATATTGTACTTTTTGGTCACATAAATCAAATGGGTTATGAAAACCATTTTGTGTTGACTTTAAACCCGAGATGGGACATTTAAAAGGTACCGAGTGCTTCTGGAGCCTGTAGGGTCCTGATCTAATATGGTCCCACGTGATCCCTGAGTGTACAAACACTCCAAACCCAGCCTACCTCATCAAAACCCACCGACGGATGAGTGGGGAGTGAACTTGGTAATCAATAAGATGACATTTGCTTTGTTTCTCTTTTCACAGGAGGTCGGCAGCATCATAGGCAAGGTGAGCGAATCTCTTTGTTCCTGTTGTCCCTGCTGTTGACTTATTAGATTTGGTGGATGCGTCTTGAGATTTTTGTCGCTACTGGGTTTGCTTTTTTCTCTGTATTAGATTGTTCTCACAATCTTTCACACAGACCTTTAGGTTACAATCCAAAAGCCCAGATTATAAACCTACAGAATGGATCACTATAAGACTTGATGTTTCCTAGCAAATGGCTTGTTAAATGCGACGAGTCGTGCATCTTATGTATTAATGATCTGGATATATTATGATGCTCAATTCTACAGCTAGCTCTGTTTATCCCTAGAGCGAGTGCAATTGTCTAAACATGGCACAATCTCTTGGAGAGGCCCAATGTAGATGTCACAATGATTAGTAAACAGTGTGTCAGCTACTGATGAGATGATTTTTGTGGGGGTTTTCCTGGTTTGGCCAACTCAAGGTCCTGGAGCGACAAAACGTATACACGCACAAATACACACAGTTGCTGGCATTTCCTTGGCTCCAAATAAATCTCTTGTGACACAAAGCTCTCTTCAGAACTGGCCTGCTTATAGGTCTCTGGGCCTTTGGCAGAGTTTGGGCTCAGGACAAGAGCCAGATGGAAGGATACAGACCACTCTGAGATCCACAGGGGTCTCCGTTGCTGCGAAGACGACTTCTCGAAAACACAGTTCACTCTTTTGTCTTGCACAAAAAGTAAATAATGTCCTAAAAGTGAATCTTCAGAAGAAAATTAGATTAAAACATCCAAACGAGAAGTCAAGAACAAGCTTAGCTGCCACTTCCTGCTGAAAGGATCTCATCGACCAATAGAACATAAAGACTAGCTGCAACAAGTAGTGCCGAAATACACAACGCAAGTATGTGAACGCAAACGTTCCTTGCTACGCAAACTCAGTTTCGGATTAAATTTTCAAACAACAAATCAAGAACAAGTTTAGCTGCACTTCCTGTTGCAGGGATCTCATCGACCAATAAAACAAAGCATAGCTGCAACAAGCAGTACTGAAAGATATTCAATGCAAGTATGTGAACACAAGCTTTCCTTGCTACACAAACTTGATCTCATATTGTGTTTTGTTTAAAATGTCCAAAAAATTACAATAAATCAAGAATAAGCATAGCAGCTCTTCCTGATCTCATCAACCAATAAAAACAAACCATAACTGCAACAAGTAGTGCCAGAAACATACTAAAATATGTTAAATGTTCCATGCTACACACATTTGATTTCATATTGTGTTCGTTTCGGAACACAGCAAAAAAAACAAAAAAAGTTTGTGTAGCTTAATTTGTGTATTTCATGCATTGCCACAAGGGGCACTATTGCCAGCGTATATATTTTATTCTACTAGTTTTTGATTACAGATTGACTACTATCAGGACAAAGCAACAGTTTTTGACTGAATAAGTTTGCTTCAGTTAGTTAAGAATGTTTAGCTAGCTAACTGAATCATGTTGATAACTCTGTTACCCCCTTGGGTACTGAAGTTATGTACAGTCTGCTTTCAGTTCACTGGCCAGGCCTTCATGTCTGCAATTAAATACTTGTGTAGAGTAGGTTTCTGGCTGTACTTCCCAGTACTGGCAATGTTCCTAAATCAAAGTGTTCATTGCCGTATCAAAAAGAAAAAACTTGCATTTGTTTGATGCATTAATTTATGCCTAGCCTTAGACTTTTCATCGGGCTAATGAAATATGAATAATGAATATTATGTTCTCTCATAGAGGATTAAAATCATATGCCGCTGTCCCAAGGCTTTTTTAGATGACATTTATGGAATGATGATCATGTAATGCTCAAACACGTTCCAGTATAAGAGCAGCTAAATTATGATTTTGACATCCTCTGTTGTCTTCCTGTTCCTTCTCTTGTTTTTTTCTCTGAAGCATAGTAAATAAATGAAGGCCTATGGTGTATAACTCCCCACCGTAAAATCAATAAACCAAGGCTTGGTTTCCCAGACATAGATTAAACACAGTCCTAGACTAAATCTGTGCCGTTACCGGTGATTCTCCATCACAAATCTCCACTGGAGATATTCGAAGGGGAGGGTTGCCTAGAGTCGATTACTATTCGTAATGTGTCTTCAGGAGAAAGGAATGATGGTGAATTGTAAATTATAAGCAGTAAAAGAGCTCAGCAATCCGTGTATCATTCGATCATTCGTTTTTTGATTTAATATTGAAAGTAGAAAAATGAGAAAACGGCTCCTTTTTCGTTTTTTTGTTTTTTTCCAAAAAACGAAAATTCGTCTTAAATTTTCGTTTTTCGTTCATGGGTGGAAAATTGAATAAACAGCTTGAATATTGGATTTCTACATGTGGGCGGGAATTAAACACCCCTTTCTGCTGATTGGTCAGCCGAAGATCAAACCGTGCCGTCATCAGTTCTTCCGCAGTATCACGCAGCAGAATAATAGTCCTCTGCTGCTGCAGTTGTATGGATTCTTAACACATTTATTGCAACTACATTTAATATTTTTTTGTCAAACAAACTGGCTTATGAATAGCTCAACACAACTCATACTGGGGCAGAGTCTAGACAGGGCTTTCTT